TAATTGTCTACAATAACTCTATCTGAATTTTAAGATTGAAATAATTGCAATACTAACTGTGACCGTAATTTTTAAAAGAAAACAATAAAATTTCTCGATTATTAATATCCTTTTGAAATTCACTTGAGCTATTCATCACTGAATGTTATATATTCAAGTACACTGCACATCATAAAATTTCATAACATACTAATTGAAAATCTAATTCAAAATAATTGACATCTCGACCAAGTATTAAATTAAAAGAACGTGATTTATATTCTAAATGACTTATATGATGACCAACACGTTGCAAACCACATGATTCTTTTCGAGCATCAATACCCGAATAAAGAAGAATTTTCGTACATAAGTCATATTTTATTTTTACCTGGTTTAATGAGAAAAAAAATGCACTAAAATTTTTTTTTTAAATGTATTGTTTAATTTATAACTGAAAATATCTTGATAAAGATCTTTGTCTGTATCTTATTCTTCGTTCTTATTTACTCGAAAACAGAACGAACTTTCTGAAAAAAATAATTTGAAATTGATGATTGGAGCATTTAATATTTTATCATCTTAATCCTCGTTATATTTAAATAACCAAAGAAAACAAAAGAAGCAAAAAGTATTAAAAAATTTTTTTCAATATCGTTCATCAACATTTTACATTAAAAGAAAACTATATATCTCATTAAAACTAATAAAAGAAACATATACGGAATCAATGGTTGGTGAACCCGTTCGTCGTCGTGCAACTCGATTATTTTATCGAAGAACAACTGAACCAACTGGTCGTGTAACTCGATCAGTTCGTCATAATAATACTAAACAACAAGGTGCTCGTCGTGATGATACATCTGAACAAGGTGATCGTCGTGATACATCTCAACAAGGTGATCGTCGTGATACAACTCAACAAGGTGGTCGTGATGATACATCTGAACAAGGTGCTCGTCGTGATGTACCTCAACAAGGTGGTCGTGATGATACATCTAAACAAAGTGCTCGTCGTGATGTACCTCAACAAGGTGGTCGTCGTGATACATCTGAACAAGGTGCTCGTCGTGATGTACTTCAACAAGGTGGTCGTCGTGATACAACTCAACAAGGTGGTCGTGGTG